TCACAACTTCCTTTGTGCACTTTTTGGCATGGACAGACTTTCACAGAAGCCCCAGCAGAGAAATCTGAGAGTGCAGAATCAGAAACAAGAGAACGCATGGCCTGGATTACGCACTCAAATCTGTATTTGCACTTACAAATCAGTGTCTGCATGCTCTCAGATGCTGAAGTACAAAGTGAGTAGCACTAACAGTAGTTTGAGTGCCCTCAGACATTGTGGTGGGGATCTGCTTCCATACATATCAGGAACATGAAAGGATCTGGATTCAAGTAAAAGCCAGGACTAGTCCTCACAGGTGTGCATTTATTTACCTGGTTCCTCTGGTAGCAGAAATTACAGGCCCACAGTTTGGCCCTGTAGTCCACCTGGCTGCAACGCACAGACAGCTATTAACACACAGGTGTTAGACAAGTGCATGTTGGTGGATGTTAGACAGATGTAGGTTAGATATGTGGCTGTCAGACAGGTGAAAAACTGTTTACCACAGTGGGTTGAGCACGGCGCGGCAGGTGGCGCGGCTGCAGAGAACCGGTTCATACTGGATCGGGGGCAGGTCCGGTCTCTCCTTCAGCGGAGTGAACAGTGCCGCCACCGGCACCACCATTCGGGTCGCCTCCAACCGGCTGGACGGCCACACATTCCAGCTGAAACGCACGCCATCGCGCTCCTCATTCTGAGCAATGTACTCTGGGAAGGTTGTCATGGCAATACAGGGGGACAGCTGGGGGGGGGGGGGGGGGGCGGTGGTTTTTTTCAACACAGTGTTGAACCATGATTCTAATATTTCCCTGTGACTGTTCGATGCTTTTATTTTAGTATAAAATACAACTTTATATCTGTATTTTTTTTAGAATAAATATTACCCTAAGAACTGCCAACTGCAGACAAGATGGCTGACCTCAAACACAGTGTTGAACCATGATTCTAATATTTCCCTGTGACTGTTCGATGCTTTTATTTTAGTATAAAATACAACTTTATATCTGTATTTTTTTTAGAATAAATATTACCCTAAGAACTGCCAACTGCAGACAAGATGGCTGACCTCAAACACAGTGTTGAACCATGATTCTAATATTTCCCTGTGACTGTTCGATGCTTTTATTTTAGTATAAAATACAACTTTATATCTGTATTTTTTTTAGAATAAATATTACCCTAAGAACTGCCAACTGCAGACAAGATGGCTGACCTCAAACACAGTGTTGAACCATGATTCTAATATTTCCCTGTGACTGTTCGATGCTTTTATTTTAGTATAAAATACAACTTTATATCTGTATTTTTTTTAGAAAAAATATTACCCTAAGAACTGCCAACTGCAGACAAGATGGCTGACCTCAAACACAGTGTTGAACCATGATTCTAATATTTCCCATACAGATTGCTCCAGACACCCAAAATATATTATCCCTTTGTTATAAAAAGTAGAAATATCAAAAGCAATGTTACAAGAATAAATGGCGTTAGTAGAGGGAGAAAGCATCGAACAGTCACAGTTTCTGATGTGAACATTTGAAATGTCTCTTTCTGCTCCAGAGGACGAAGCTTTAACTTTAATGACTCCACCATGTTTCTTGCAGGACACACTGTTTGTTTGCAAGCTTTAAAACAACACGTAGGAGGATAAAATGTACAGAAATATAAGCAAACAGTTACATGTAGAAATAAAATGAGGATCATTTTAAAACATTAACAAACTCGTACAGAGTCTGGCTGGAAGCCTGATCCTCTCTCTGCTGGGTGTGTTCGGTCTGGGGAACCTGGACTCTCAGGTTTTAGAACGTCTTTAGAGTTAAACCCGTTTTTATAAACTACTAAGGAGTAGAAAGTACTTCCATCCAAAAGGTACCTGCAGCACAGGCATATTTAAATATACTTCAAAGTTGTACTTCGGTATAGTAGGCTACTGGAACAAATGTAGTAGCTACAAGTACTCGTGCTAGTTTCCACCGCTACCATTTATAATCAGCAGAGTGCAGGTAATCAATGACAGCTGATAATCAATGGGATCAGCGGTAATCCCTAACTTTATATGTTAAAGGCCAGAATGCCGCGACGATAATCAGGTACATGCATGACGCAACAGTATCTTTGTGTTGGTGTCTCACCTAATCCCGAAGGTTTTAACTCCGATTGGAACAAAATAAAAAAGGATTTTATTCTGAGTTTTCACCTCAGTTGACCCAAGAGCTAACGGCTAGAGGCAGCTAAATCCGCAAATAACCTGCAGCATCATAAACGTCACACCGAGGGCACGTGCAGGGTGTACAGACAGGCAGGTGGAGGTGAACATCTGTCAGGTCCAGGTGAATCTGTATAAGGTTAATCCACAACTTACCACTGCTCTGCCGCCGCTGCTGATCCTCTCTACTGACAACGAAGCAAAACAATATGGCGGCTACGCCACGTCAAGACAAAGAGCGCACAAACATATTGATGTCTCACTCTGAGGGAAATTCAGAAACCATATTAATGACCAAGTAGAGGACGTTGACGGCGGGGTGGGAGGATGACTTCTGCTAAAGCTAAAGCTATGAATGGATCACTGAGTGGACCTCTGTTTTAAGTGGCTGCGCAAAGTTTTGTTGGAAGTCAGTCAAAACACTTAAAAAAAGCACAAAACAAACATAGAAACACGAAAGGGGGTGACTGTGATTCAGTGGGTAGAACTGCCGTCTCCCAACCCGGGGCCCGGGCGTTCGATTCTCGGTACATGCAGTCGAAGTGTCCTTGGGCAAGGCACTGAACCTCAATCTGCTCCCGATGGTTAGAGCCATCGGTTGAGTTGGCGCCGCAGATGGCTGCCTCGGTTCTGTACCAGAAACAAATTCCTTGTGTGTAACATACTTGGCCAAATAAAGGTGATTATTATTATTATTATCCTTAGAAACAACATCCAGTTGACCAAAGTACTTTACATGGGCAGAATAAGATCACAATAAATAACTAAAATAGAATAAATAAGATCAACACAAGAATAAAACAGCACAATAACAGACACACAAATGGCATACAGTCAATAAATTAAAAGAAAAGCATGAGGCCCTACTAAATATTAAAGGCCAAGGCAAATAAATGTTTTAAGCAATGATTTAAAAGCAGTCAAGTCGGTAGCCGATATAACATTGAGAGGTAAAGTTTTCCACAATCTAGGGGCTGTAACAGTAAAAGCACAGTCACAAAATTATGAGGAAAGAGATCGCATGCCTAAGTGTCCCTGAGCAAGACACTGAACCCCGAATTGCTCCCGGTGGCTTGACTAGCGCCGTTGTGTGGCAGCCTGTCTTCATCGGTGTGTGAATGTTGTGTGTGAATGGTGTATGATCTCCTGTAAAGCGCTTTGGCCAGTGCAACACACTGTGGGAAAATGCGCTATATAAATACAGTCCATTTACTATTTGTTTGTAAGTAGTGTACCTGTAAATTCTTACAGACTCCAGACATAGAGGTTACGTCAGGTTAAAGAGTCCACATTCCACATCAGAGTGGATCACCTTGATAATAAAAGATCTTTGATCGTTTCTCACCAGGTTTCAGAGATAAAAATCTAAATTTGTTGGTTTCTACAGAAATCACAACCAAACTAATTAAAGAAGAATGGAATGTGAAGCCCAGTAAAAATAAAAAAATATTGCTATAGTTTGAATGATAAACATCAAATTAAACCTGAACAATTCACCATCTTTTTACTTAGAGTTTTTCCTTCCCGCTGTCACCAAGTGGTTGCTAAAAGGGGGTTGTTGGGTTTTCCTCTATAACACTATGAGGCCTAGACCTGACTATGTCAAGTGTCCTGAGATGATTGTTGTTGTGAATTGGTGCTATACAAATAAATTTGATTATACTTTCAACTTACTTCACACCATCTCAGGGTTGTCCTACCACCAAAATAGTAATGAAATAAATACACTGCACGTTTAAAATGGTGCAATAAAAATGTTTATTATATGACAAAATACTGTCACTAACTAAATGTCTCCATCATCGTTAGCTCATCCAATCAAGACCGACTGCCCCGTTGAAACGTTATACACAAACTGATACAGAATTAAATTAAGGAGGCCCATAAACAACTAGCAACAACAATCTTCCTCCTCCTCTTCATCATTTAAAGCAATATTCCAACTTATTTTCTTCAGATAAAAACAGTGAAGAAGCTTCTCAAAAATGTTGAACTGCTCCTGGACATGATTTTCTAAAAGCAGAAATCAGTTTCTCAGTGAAACGCAGCAAAGGATGAGAAGTCAAACATCCTCCCTTTATTTTGTCTTTCTACACCTTTCGCTTTCTCTAAGCTCCATCTGTATCCATCAGGAGGCGGTGCCATAAGGGTTTTTTTTTTTTACATTTAAAGGCAGCTGATTAGTCGGTGGTCACATGTTGTTGAATCCCATCATGCCTTTCATGTTTCCAGCAGCACCCTGCTGAAACTGACGCATCATTGACTGAAGACCGGCCATACCACCTTAAAAACAGAAACACAGACTTAGTTCTTATTTATCAACATTTTAAAGATGTTTCCAGCAGCTCCATATTTTAATTTATTGATAAACTGTTCTCGGGATTATGTACAGCTGTGCTCATGCTACTGGAGGAGGATGTCTCACCCATGTGATGCAGGACTCGGGGGTCCATCATTTTGGCCATCTGCTGGTTCAGTTTGGCCATCTGAGACGGGTTCACATTCTTGGACATGTCTCCTCCTGAAACACAAACGTCTTAGTCAGATATGGGTTCAAACTTGAGATAAATCCCAATTCCACTAACTGCGTCCACGTTTCCCTCACTTGCACCTTTGCCTTGCATCTTAGCCCTGTCCATGTAGGACATAAGGAGAAGATGCAACGAGAGAAGATATAAGGAAGCATGTTTTAACTGACTTGACACATCTTTTCCTCCGATCCTTAATGTGAAGCATCCAATCACAAAGTGATCTCCAATAAAGGAGCATGTCAATCTGTTACACACTTCAGTGAAGGATGCACAAGTGTATCCTTGGTTTTAGCCCCTTGCTCCTCAGAGCAGAAATCAAAGCTTTGGGATGTTCATCATGGTGGACCAGAATGACTTCTGGATCGAGGACCAAGGAATGATAAAATGAAAGAATGGGGATTCACGTCTGGACTCCTCAGCCTGCCTGCTGCTGCTGCTTCTTCTTCTTCCATCTGGCTACACCTGTATGGGCCTCATGTACACCTCCTACACACACTGAGAAACCACCCAGGCTCCAAAGACCTAGTCCCTCCATCGCTGGGACCTGGGCTTACCTTTGAATAGCCCCTTGATACCCCCCATCTTCTTGACCATCTGGGCAAACTTGGTGTACTGAGTCAGCAGCTCCTGGACGTCTCTGGTGGCGACCCCCGACCCCCGGGCCACCCGCTGGATCCTGTTTGGCTGCTTACTGAACAGCTTTGCTCCATCCTTACTGTCCAGCTCTGCAGAGACACAACATTAACCAGGCAAACCAGTCAGATGTCAGCTTGAAATCTGACGGTGTTGTCTCACATGTATCTCATACATCACATATCCTGTGGTTTGTCTGTGAGCTGACTTCAGATCACACCTGCAAACTCTTCGGTTTACCTGCAGCACCTGTGATGTCATTCACTGCTGTCAGTCTGTCTGGTCCAGGCTGGCCACAGTTCACTGTGTCATGATATTACTGTAGTGCTTCCACAGTGGGATTGCAGCGGTACACTGGTTTCATGGTGCACCACGGTATGAAAACTGACGGTTATTATACCGTGCACATTTGCTTATTACAGGTGGTGAGGGAAAAAAAAAAGAAACAAAACAAAACAAAACAAACAAAAAAAACAACAAAAAAAAAAACGTGCACACCTTTATTCCCCGACTGCCTGT